GTTTAAAGTATTCAGAGTACATTAGAATCATTGTTTTGTGAGTCTAACCTGATCAACAACCTCATCATGATCATTAACCTGTTGAGTTGATGAGATGAGTTAAATGTTCTTGGTTTCATCTTTTCAACACGACATTGCTGCTTTTTCCTTTAGATTTTTTTACCACTTTCATTTTTCCGGAGTTTTTCCTGATGTGGTTTTCCAGAGAGTTTAATTCTGAGATGTTTTCATCTCGACTCTGTGTATTTGAGTGTCGGCTGTAAACTGACTGCAGGAGCAGGTGAGAGCTCTGCTTCCTCTTTATTCAGTCGTTCATCTAAACCTCGTTCACTCATAATTACTCCTGATGATTATTTGTTGTTTGGTTTTATCACTAACAGATTTAAATATATTTTTATTTTTATTGGAATGAAACTATCACTTCCTGTCCTGACTTCAGCACCGCGGACAGCTCCTCCATCCCCGCTGCTGCTGGGACTTGTAGTTTTTTGTCACTTCCTGTTAAAAACACACGAACGACTGGAAACTAACGAGAAATTAAAACACAACGTCCCACAATCCTTTGCGGCTGTGCGCGCGCTCTCGTGCGTCGTGGTTACCTCCCGTGTGCGAGCTGTGACAAGCGCGTGACACCACCACAATAAGAGCGGATGTGTGGAGACGTGACCTTCAAAATAAAGGTTGGGATTGTCTCTCTCGATATATAATTGTTATTGTGATGATGAGTTCAAACTAAAGTTACCACACAGTGTTTCAGGAAGTTGAGGTCAACGGTTTTACAAAGGACTGGACTGTCACACTGAAACCAAGAGACTGGACTAATTGATATAGATTAGAATATTCATGCTTAATTAAAATAAAGGTGATAAATTACAACGTATTCTCAAACTTCTCCTTAAAACAGCAGATAAAAGCTAAACGATGCTGTGAAAAGAACAAAATCATCAGAATCTCTAAGTAAAGAAAAGATGAGTTGATTAAAAAAAGAATGGTAGGATAAAATATACTGAATTTGAAACTAGGAGAAGAACATTAGTTTGTTAAAATCAATAAAATGTATTTGCAGAATTAAAATGAAAGGACACAAACCCAGGGATTGTGAAATTGTCACATATTTCATTTCCTGTCAGGGAGTTTATATTTTCATCAGTTTGTTTGTTGGTTTGTTTGCAAGATTCTGCAAAATAGAATAATGATGGATCCTGATGAAAGACGATCAGACTGACTCTATGAGTCGTTGGTGCAGCTCGATGGAATCTACTTATCATCTGATTGATTTGATTCATTATTATGTTTGTTCTGCTTCTTACCTCCTGTGATTCTTAACCAGATGAATCAGAGCGGTCGAGCGCAGTGGAAAGTACCCTCTGAAAAGTACTGTAGTATTTTCCTGTACTGAAGTGAAGTATAGAAGTTGTGTTATTGTGTTTCTGTGTGAGGGAGAGTTTTGTTGGCTCTATGATTCTCTAACACCTCGACCTTAAAGAGCTCTGAGATAAAGTATGTAGAGCTTTGAGTCTGAATTCATTCATTTATTCTACTGAACATTTAGTTGATTAGATTCTAAACCTGAGTTTTCTGCTGGTTTGGCGCTTTCTCCTCCTCCTCCTGACTCAGAGGGCTTTTATTTTGTAGGGATGTCCTGTGGAAGCAGTGTGTTCTGTGTCTCTGAGCTTCTCTTGATGTTTCTGCTTCTCAGCCCGAAAAACAGCGAGAAACCCACAGTGATGAGACTCGGTGGTCAGGGAGGGTCTCCATTAGAGTCTGCAGCCCGGTGTCCTGACAGCTGAGTCTGTCTGTCTGTGGTCAGAGGGACAGCGGGGGGATGCTGTCCTCCCACCGGGAATCGGGACTCTCCTCTTCCCTCATCCGGCCGGGATGCTGCGGTCTGAGCCCGGGGCTTCTCCCCTCCTCTGCCCGCTGAAGTTGGATCATCTGCGGGGATTAAACATTGGTTTTTGTCGCTCCCTCTCTGGATCAGTCCCAGCGTCTCCCAGTGGAGAATAATCCGCCTGGTTTCAATTCTGTGGTTCTGGATTATTTCTCATCACGTCCCTGTGATTTTTACTCACGCACAGATTTGTGAATGGGTCCGCGAGCCGCCTCCCCGCGCCGCCGTGCGTTATTGCGCGCAGGGATGAAGTGAGCGCACCGGAGAAAAGAGAGAAAGCTCCCGTGCTGTAGTAACCATGGCTGGTCCCGAGGTCGAGGATTAGTGTGAGGGGGGATTATTTTCCAGGAGCAGAATCCTCCATCAGTTCGCTGGGTTTTCATTCAGTCTCTGCCTCTTTGGTTTCTGGACACGAGCAGAACTTTTCCACATGTGTCACAGTACTTTCTTTATTCCTGTTGCTGCATCATTTTATTTCATTTTCTGAAAACTGAGGATAGAAATATTATCTGTATCTGTAGATGTCGTGAAACAGAGAATATTGCAGACTGAGGCATCTTTAAAATATCAGAAGGATAAACACAGAGAAGTCGGTCTCATGTTATGCATAATGAATATTTTAATAGGCGACCACAAGGCTCAAACTATAACTTCACCATAGAGAACAATAAAAAGACTCAGAGTCTCTTGAGGAACATTGAAGTAAATTACACTCAAACCTCAGTAGGATCATAAAGCGTCGTGTCAGCAGAAATGACTCTGAGGTGAACGGTGACAGAGGATAATGGAAATGTGGAAATATTACAAGATAACTGACTGTGTGAGAAGTTTATTATAAACTTCAGATGATATTTCAGATATTTCTTTTTTTAAGCATCAGAACCACTAAATAGCTTCCAGGCAGGTTTGTTAATGTTGGACTGGAGACGGACCAGTGTGAGTTTTCCAGAAAGAGATTGTAGGTTTAGTTTTTAAGGGAATTTAAAATCATGATAATCTATGTGAGGATACATTTTTCATCTCTTTCTATCTTGTTTGTTTGAGTTTGTTTGAGTTTGTCCTCTGAGGAAAAAGAAAAGAGGAGGAAACTCTACATTTTCACTCATTAACCTTTAAAAGAAAATGACAAGTAATACTTGATTTTAACATTTAAACATGGAAATAACCAGAATAATCTGAAGAGAAGCAGCAACATCCACCAGGTTATTTGTAGAAGTGAAATACCAGTGAACTGATCAGAACCCTGTTCTTCTGGAGGATCTTGGACTCAAAGGAAGCATCAGGAGCGAGCCGGCGGACGCGGACCCTCAGATGAGTGACCATGTCGGACCGGAGCGCCCCGGGCTGCCGGCTCAGACTGGACTGGGTCTATGGGTACCGGGGCCACCAGTGCCGCAATAACCTGTACTACACGGCCGGGAAGGAGGTGGTGTACTTCGTGGCCGGGGTCGGCGTGGTTTACAACACCAGAGAGCACAGCCAGAGGTTTTACCTGGGACACAACGATGACATCATCAGGTAGGACTGCTGCCACACCTGGATGCTTGAGTTCAAACTATTCACTGGTGTGAAGTCATTTCAGCAGACAAATACTATTAAATACTCTAATACTCATATCTTATGTGACAGTTTAAATATCATCATATCATTGCATCTCAAATATGATAATCACTCAAGTGTGTTACAAGTAGTGGAGCTAAAGCTGTGAGGTAACAGGAGGACGGTTCTTCCTCTGGGGAGCAGGACATCCATCAAGAGTCATCACTTCTCTGCAGTCCGGATGGAAACGTGTCCTGGTCGTGGCACCAGTAGTCAGATGGAGGTTCAGGAGCTCACGTGAATCATGGCAGCGATAAAAAGCAGCAGAACTGTAAACATGGACGTTTGTAGTAGAGAAACTGAGAAACGGACTCGTCACATGGTTCCATCTCCAAAACTCTGAGGTCACTTTTTAATCATCGATGAGTTGAAAAACATCACTTTGAGCTCTGATTGCAGGTTTTCATCATAACGATCTGCAGTGTAATTACAATTTATCATAATGTCAGTGGAATAAATGAACCTCAGAGAAGTTTATTTGCTTCAGATCCAGTGCAGGTTAGTGAAAACAGAGAAACATTATCTTCAAATGTTCACACATCATTCTGAAAACTGAGCTTTGGGAGAAAATGTTTTTCTTTACAAATTATAGATTTGATTGTTTTTTGTTTATATGCAAGATGAACCATGTTTGCATGGTTCATCTTTAAACTCTAATTAAACATTAAGCAAACACCCAGCACCTTAAATCCGGGATTCTCTGATAATGATATAATTCAGCTTCTGTTTCTCAATCAGGAACAATACTGAGAGACAGCTTTGAATCTTTTTAGCCTCTTGTAGCTCTTAGTTTTTGCAGCAGCACAATTTGACTTTGTGTTTCCAGCAGTAAACAGCAGCTGAAGTGGTGGAGACCAAACACAGAGATATGAGAGAGGCTGCTCTGGACTTAGGTTCATCACGCCACACGAACACTCCACACGTTGTGTCAGCAAAGTTTGATGCTGAACTACGTTTCTGTTCTGCTAATGCTGATGTAGCAAATAGCATCTTTAACTTCATTTCTAAACTTCGTTGTTCCTCGAGCTGTGCACTGCAGGTTAAAGGTGTGAATCACTATTTACCTTTTAATTCATTTTCACTGACGATGTCGTCGTCGAAGCAAAGGGAGAAAGAAATTAAAGCAAATAGAGGAGGAAGATGTTTCACCGAGGTCACGGTCACACACAAGCTCGTACACGTGCTAACACGCTCAAACACACACACACACACAC